CTCTTTCTCCCCTCCTCCTCTCTCCCCTCTCCTCTCTGTTTCTCTCTCTTTCAGGAATACAGGCAGACCCAGCTGAGCGCCGTGACGCGGTGACGTTGGGCTGCCTGATGCTTGCAAAGTTCTGAAATCGCTTGGACGACTGCTCACAGTGCCCGCCGGCCTCTCCCTCTCCCTCTCTCTCCTCTCTTCCTCCCTCCCTCCCCCATCAGATTTCCCGAACACTCAAACCACAACGCGACTCACCAGCCCAGGCCTCCCGGGCACCCCCTCCTCCCGCCCCCTTCCCCACCTCCATCCATCTCTGCTTCTCCAAGAGCAAACGCTTTGGCTGCAAAAAACCTGCACGAATCATCGCCAACGCGGCCGGCTTCTGCTGGGGAAGTGGTCTCTCAGTGATGCCGGCTGTAGCTGCAAGCGGAGCACGAACACACTGCTCGAGCACGCACCACACACACACACACACACACACACACACACACACACACACACACTCGCCACGAGCCTCCTAGACTGCCTCCGCTGGTATTCTCTGTGCCGGGCTGACCTCTAGGGCTTAGAGCTGCGTGACCCTGCCAGGCAGAGCCTCGCCACCCTGCCCGTGCTGGCGGGACTGACCTCTCCCTCCACCCCGCTCATCACCCCGAGTCTCAGCGACTCCGGGGTGAAGGCAGGATGTAGGTGCGTTTGGATGGGGACCTGAGCTTTTTAAAACGCCAAGAAATCGCCGGAGAGCCCTCCCACCCCGCTGGCGAGTCCCGATGCCGGTGCCGCCAGACCTCCCGGGTTTGAGTCCTATGCAGGGCAGCTTCGGGGTATGTGAAAACAGCCACGCCGGCCTTGGGGGCTGCCTGAGATGGTCATCTCCCCTCGACCCTTCTTCCCACCCTCCCCCTCCTTGAAGCATATTTTGAGGGTCGGGTTGAAGGGGTCACGGGGAAGCGTAAACACGCCGCGGTCTGTAGCTTCTCCGCCAGAGAGGAGCCAGCCAGGGGTGCCACGTAGTGCGCATGGGATTTGGAATAAATGCCAAGAGTCCCATTCTCTGTGCTCCCCTCACCTCCTGTACCTTCATGTCCTAGTTCTTTTCCCACTCAGAGAGAGACCAGACCCTTCACAACCCAAGGCAGCGCCAGCTAACCTCACGGCTCAGGAGGGGCACAGCGTGAAGTGACTGGCCTATCTCCTACAGAACGGTGGCACCGCCAGAGAGCAACCCAGCCACCTCCCAGGTTTCTTCTCCCCCAGGCCCTTGCCAAAGCCCGTCATTTGCAAAGAGGCTCTCACTCTTCTACAACCTCAGCGGATGAACGCCAAGCCTTTGAGCTTCTATCTCAGCAGCCTAAAGCCCAAAAGCAAATAAGACCTCGGGAGCCTGGGTCCACAGCGGGTCTGCTGCAGGGAGGGAGATCTTTCGAAAGAAAGATCCTTCCAATCCCCTTCAATTCACAGAGATTTGCGGATAAAATAAATTCCCATAAATAATCTGTAGGCCCCCTCCGGGAAAGGGAAAAGCTAGAATCCTCCAAGTCATGGTCCAGCCAAATTCGCTTAGCAGCTGAAGCACAGGTCCTACAGCCGGTGCCCGGGGCACCAAGCTCTATCTGGGTTTGTAAACCTGGCCCAGCTGACACATGCAGGCATAATGCAAGCGAATAAATAGGTGGTTTTGATCCTGCCCCGGAGCTGGGGAGGGAAGCTAAGGCCCCGCCAGGCCAAGTTCGAGGGAAACCGATGACCACTCACCCGCCCCTTTAGTTCGCTTGAGGGATACTCACCTCCCCAAATCCCACTGCCTCTTTCCAGAGCAGAAGCCAAGAGTGGCGCCTGGCTGGGGAGTGGGTCTTCAGATGCAATGAGCAAAGAATCCCCCCAAAAGAGACCCTTTGGGGGCCATGTCTCTCTCCAGGAACTGTCAAGACAAGCTAGTACCTCCCAGCTCGTGGTTGGTTTGTGGTCTCCGACAAATTAAATATTACTGTTTATTACCAGGCCTACCCCAATAAAAGAAAGAGGCAACCAGGCAATACCGACTATCTCACCAGCCGCTGCACCTATAGGACTTGGAGACGTCACCAGCCGTGCAACTGGCCCTCGCGCTGTCACACGCCCGACTGGGGCCAGCAGCCCGAGGTTCAGGTCTCTGTGGCTTGTCTATCAGTCCTGGGTCTGCATAGCGCCCAGTCCTGGCCCCTTCGATCAGGGAATAAAGAACAAAATAAATAATCACAGCCCTCGTGGAGGGGGTGGGGTGGGGGTGGCGAGCACTGGGCACAAAGAGAGCCGGGAGATCAATTTTAGGGGGAAGAAGGGAGGAGGCCTTTGGGAGGGAGGGGAAGATAGAAGCCCACCTCAGCCCCCACTGGAAAGAAATCAAGTCTTTCTGGAGAGCGAGGGTCTTTTGCAGGAGGCAAGGGATTATTCTGATTTTTCAAAAGTTACTTGACTGAGAAGGAGCTCTCTTGTGGTACAAGAGTTTTGATCGGTTTCCAGCTAGCTGGCCGGTGTAGAAGCAATTGCAGGGTTATTGATAGGAGTGAGAAACAGTTGCTTAAAAGTTTCTGGCTAAGAGAAAGTCCATTCATCCCCAGGCCCCCATTAGCTTGAGCTCCAGACTACTCTGTCCCTAGTTGGCCCGCGGGGGACGGGGTGGGGGGCGCCCGCGAGTGGGTGGGTGGGGGAGCAGAGAAGGGTCATTTCTGCAGAGAGAAATTTCAGCGCCAGGGCCCGCCGAGGGAGAAGGCCCTTAATTTTGTTTTGTCAGGATGATGGTTTCTGCTTGCGGTCTGGTCAGTGGACAGAATTTCTAAGCAGTCCGGTGGCGGAAGCGCGCAAGCTTTTGAGCGCAGTTGCCAACCCCCTAGGTTCAGTTGCGAAACGTACCGCGTAGACGCCCCCGGCGGCCCCAAGAAGGATCCGAGGGCCCTCCGGAAGGGTAAGTCCCGCGCCCAGAGGCTCCGCACCCCGAGAGCCTGACGTCCGAGTCTGCTCTTGCCCCCAGCCTTGGGGTCCGACCTCAGGGGGGAACGCGCAGTCAAGCTCCAGGGCTTTCCGAGACGCCGTCTGGCTCCAGGCCCGGCCGGTCCGCAGCTAGAGCGGCCGCGGACTCGGCGCGAGCGCGGCCGACCCGAGCAGCTTCGGGATCCAAGGTCAGGCCCGCGGGGAGAGCGGGCGGTGGCTTGCAGCCTGGGGCAGCAGGCGCCGGAGGGCAGCGCGGCCGCAGCCCGGGGCCGTTTGCAGCGAGCAGAACCCGTGTCCCTCCTCGGGGCCAGGCCGCAGAGGCTTCGGATCTGCGCTTTCGTTTCCCAAGTTATTAATAAGGCTCTTTGCACAGCCCAATGCGAAGCAGTGCTTGCTCCCGGATGCCAAGAACGAACCCCAAATCCATCTCTCAAGCTCCCCGAAGAGCTCCGATTTGACTTCGGGGCTGAGGGATCCTAGAAACGGAGGCCGCGGCCCAGCGAGGCTGAAGGTGAGCCTGGCGTTGGAAGCTTCCCGACCAGGCTCCTCTCGCGTCCTCTGCGGGGACTCTGTCACAGCGGACCCGGCTCACCACGGACTCCGCACGCCCATCCCAGGGCCTGCGGAGCCCACATCATCGGGGTGTGACCGACGGAAGCCTTCCACTAGAACCAAGTCTCCCCATTTTTTCTCGGTCCAGCGGAATGCACCCCACAACCTCCCTCCTTTTTGAGGGGTGCTCTGATGCTCTCCCCACTTGATCCCCGTTCGATGGTCCCTTTCTTCCTAGATGTAATTTCCTTTCTGTTTTTTTTTGGGGGGGTGGGGTGGGAATCCCTGTCCCAATTTTGAAAATGCCATCCGTCGGGAGCAGAAAAGTAGGACCATTTTCACAAAATAAAACAATAAAACAAAAACTGCAAGAGACAGTAACTGCTGCCGTTTCCACATTCATTTGGTCCCTTCTGTGTTTAAGAAAGTTGGACTCTCCCAAACCATTGTCTTTCTTTCCTTGCAAAAGCCACCTCTGGGAAAATGCCTGCTTTACGCTGTGTCCCCACCAGACCTCTGGTCTTTGCTGGGGAGCGGAGAGTAAAGAGAAGTTCAGCTGGAGCTGGGGGAAAATTAATATGAATATAAAACCAATAAAATGATGGGAGAAAAAAAATGAACTTTGACCAAGTCAGTTGGCAAAAGGGAGTCAGTCCCAGGGTGGGACGTGCTGCAGGACTTCCCTGGGGTCAGCTTCCCTCTTGCCCAGTTAACTCTGGCTCCATCTCCAGCTTGCTTTTCCATTTTTTCCCAAGACCATCACATCTCCTGACCAAGGTTCCATTCAGCTCCTGCTTCTTCCCCATTTGACAGACAGTCTCTGACAGCCAACCTGGCTGGGGGTGTAGTGGTCCTTTCCAGGTCCCAAGGCCCCTCTGATTTTCCCTCCAGGAATTCGGGGCAGCGATCTTTATTCAAGTTGGAGGTGTTCCTGGTGCTTTGGGGACTAGACCTCTCCCCAGGCTGAGTTGGGTGGTGGTAAATGGTCTTTGGAAGGAGGGAGCATCTCTCTAGGGGCCCCTGCTGATACCAAGGCTGGGACATTTGGACAACTCCAGAGCGCTCGGAGAAAGTAGAAGCCAGTGGGGCTTGGGGAACCTAGAAGGACCGGGGCTTGTACCCCCTCCAACTCCAGAGGAAGAGCAGGATGAGGGCTTAGGAGGTGAGAATCTGGGGCTGGGTTTTTTTGCCCCAGCCCCCAAACACTGCAACCCACCGAAAGGCCTGTCAAGTTGCCTGGTCTACACCGCCAGCTTTTGAGTAGCCGCCACAAAGGGTGTGGTGAGAAAAGATTCTAGGACTCAGTCTACCCTCTCCAGGATGGAAGCTCCACTAATTACCCACAGTCTGAGGTGCTGAGGGTGGGGGTGAGGGGTCGATGTCTGGACACCCCACCCTCAACTCGAAGGTGTGATGGAAACTCGGGAGCCAGCACTCTCCGGGGCTCTGGAAAGACAAATTTTCTTTGGCAAAGGGAACGGTGTCCTGCTGTCGACACGGCTGACTATTTTTCTTGTTCCCTCTTGTGGTGGGGGCTGGTGGGGGGCGGCGGCGAGAGGGGGAGAGAAAAGAAAGCCAGGGAAATGAAACCCACACATGTGATGCCCACTCAAAGGGCCAGATTCAAAACCAGAGACCAAACTGCGTCCCCAGGTCGGGCTGCTGCAGGGGCCTCTTTGCAGCATGCGCGGCCTCCCAGAGGACAGCGACAGTGCGGGAGAGTTCCAGAAAGACTATATTTCAGGGGAGCTGGGGGAGGAGAGGGACCGTGGTGACCCCAAAGAACTCCAGGTGGCCCAACAGCAGGGGGAACAAAGGAAAACTCGGCTATGGGAACAGTTCCTTAAATACAAGTTAGCGGGTCGATAGCAGTTGGAATCAGCCGTATGGAAGTGAGTGTGGGTTCTATTGAGTTTTAATGAAAAATCCCCCATCAACCAAAGACTCCAGTAACGTTCACCCCAGGGCCAAGGGCTCCAAGCCTGTGGTTCCCGGGGTAGTTGGTCCTAAGGTCCACCCAGGCTTGGGGACCGGGCTCAAGAGCAATCGACAAGCTGTTTTCTATGTGGCGCTGGAATGACCGGCCTGATCTAGCACCTTCTGGCTTCTAGAGACCTTTGACCAGGGGAGTCCCCAGCTCCTGCCACAACGGAGGTCTGCTCCGCAGAGGGGCTGGGGGTTGCCGGAGGCCACCCTGCCTGGAGCTGCGAGTGAAAAGTCTAGTAATGACCTTGAGAGGTGAAGGGAGGCGGGTGGCGTTGGGGGCGACTAGCTGGGGGCCAACCCCCCAACTGGCGGGAGCAATCACTGAGACGCTTTGGTCGAGACCCATCATTTTTCTTCCCTTGCGGCAAGAACTCCCAGCTGGGCTGCTCTGGCCTGCGGAGCGCTTGGCTTTGTGGCCTTTTTGCCGCGGGTAGGGGTTGCACCGCGACCGCGGGACCCTGTCCGCCACGCTGCCCACCCCCACAATTACCCCGGAAGTCAAGGGCGAAACCAACGCGGCTCATCTTGAGGTAGGAGGGTTCCTGACGATGGGGCCTAAGATGCTCCAGTCTCCAGAGCAACTCCAGAGCACGTGGGACACGCTGCACAATGCAGCACCCCACAGGACGACACCCGCGCCGGCAGTGCCACGGCTTCTCGGTTCCTTCTGTGGCCCTGGCTGAGCCTCCGGCAGCTTACTCCCGGCTTTCGGCCCAGCCGGAACTTCAATTTCGCCGCCCTCTTGGGACATGGACGAAAACTGAAGTGTAGCCCATGCTCTGCTCGGTCAGGAGAAAATGCGCACTTCTGAGCTCAGAGCGGGAACCCTTGTGGCCGCCCTACCCCCCACCCAGCCGGGGATCTGGGACGTCAGGATGCCCAGCTCTGCACCTCTACGGGCATCAGCATCAGGAGCCTTGTGCCTCCACCAGCCCTCCAACCGGGAACTAGGGATGGTTAGCATTTCGTACTGCTAAGTCTCACGGAGGGGCCGCATCCCATAGTTCAGTCCTTTAGCTTGGAAAGAATGATTGTTTGGGGCTTGGAGACTAGTATTTTGGATAACACGGTTTTCTTCTTGAATTTACACACACACACACACACACACACACACACACACACACACACACACACAGAGCCTCTCTTTTCGGTGAGCATTGGACATCCCCGCAGAGGCAACTTTCCTATTTGTATTTCCCAGGCAGCCTGCTCCAGGACAATGCAGTTGTCCGAGAAAGGCCTTGACCATGCCCTCTTGCCAGGGTCCTGTAGAGATGGAAGGGAGTCAGTCTCCTGCTGACCTAGAATGGGAGTCCAGTTGGGCAGTGACTCCTCTGGAACCTTCCAGACCTGAGACCACCCACCCCCATCTCTCTCCTGGCTGAGCCAGGACACTATACTCTGATCCTCTGTCTCCACTTTAAAGGCACATACAGGGGTCCCCTGAGCGCCGCCGCCAGGCTGGCCCTGCAGTGCTCCAATCACCCCTGCCTGTCCAGAGGCAGCCTGGAAAGGTTCCCCTCCCTTCCCCCTTGTCTTCTCCCCATTGGCCCTGCCACTCCCACCCCCCTGCCTTTTGTATTGCTAGTGTCTACACAACCACAGAGGTCAACATGGGAGATGCGCAGACCACGTTTCTGCCTGCTTTTGAGACTCGGTTGTAGCTTATGCTCCTCGGGGCCATGTAGCAGCTCCGCCACTTCCTCAGTGGGCCCTTGGAGTGCTCC